AAACTGGCCAGGAGTAGCAAATGCTCTCTTAAACATTTAAGTTTATTAGTCTTTCGAATATATTTTTATATACAATATATTTAAGAAATTTGTCTACCGATTCATTAAAAAGTTCCGACCATCTAAAGAGGCGTTTGTGAGCCAAATCTATTTAAAATATTTTAAAACTATCAACAGCGCTACGATTTTGTTCTCAGAGATCGTGCCAACAGAGCATTGGGATTTTCTTTCACAAGTAAAACCAGCCTTTCGAGCTTGTGTTTAGTATTCACGATGTTAGAACTGCATGAAATTAATAAAAATTGTTTAAAATTAGTGTCTAGCCGCCAAAATGTAAGAAAACATATACAAAATCATACATTTTTCACAATTTTCTAACACTTCGCTACACCATCGAAAGCAAAATTCTGTTCGACAGAAAATTCGATACTCAACGAAAATTTCGACACGCTTGCATAGCTCATAATACGAATTTCACTTTCGATCTTCGATCTTCGATAGCCAGCGAAGATCGAAAATCGAATGCAGCTCATAATAAGGGCCTATGTTTCGATTCTTAGCACCAATATCGGACTTTTGGGACTGCCAACTGCGACGTCGCCCACCACCACCACAGGGGTTGCAGAAGCAAGCACATAAAGTGGCGGGCAGGCAACATACTTCACCGACATCCAACATTCCTATAAGTCTCCCTAGGCACACGAAGATTTTAAAATTTAACTGTAACGAACTTCTGAGCAACATCGAGGAGTCTTCATGAGTCGGCATAGAATATTACTGGCTGCGGTCCAAGAGACAAATTGAATGGTAATTCAACACTGTTGAATTGCGCCGGATACAACGTGCACCGTCGAGATCGCGAGCGAGATGATGGTGGTGGCCTAGCGCTCATCACCCACTACACCGTGCAGTATCGTCTTATCGAAGCAGACATCGACCGCAGGGATACCATCCTAGAATGTGAGGGTATTGCTATCCGGTCAGGTGATGTCGGGCGTGAAATATTTAACGTGTATATACCCCCTTTCACCAGCTGCCCGGCAGGATATCGCCCGGAAATAGATGCGCTTCTCAGAGGTGAAAACTGAATGGTAGTTGGTGACTTTAACGCGCACCACGATCTTTGGCATTCAAGCCTGTCAAATGATCGTAGGGGAACGTACTTGGCTGAGCAGATAGACGATTCGACATTCTGCACAATAAACGACGACGCACCCACCAGGAGTATGGGCAGCTGCTGCAGCTCGCCGGACCTAACAATTGTCAGCGCTGGTCTGATTAACAGCATATCATGGCGACCTATGCTTAGTATCAGGCCATCTGCCCAAAGTCATCTGGATTGATAAACCAACTGACTTTGCTTCCGCGGGTCAACGGACCTACGTCAACTTCACCAAAGCTGACTGAAAAGGCTTCGCGGAGTGGGAAGAGCATCTGAAACCCTGCAACTTCGTCTTTGGTGTGATTAAGCTTTGGTCAACCGTGAGGTCATTGTCCAACCCGACGAAGTGAGATAACAGAGTTAAAATATCTTTTGGCGACCAGGCTTCGTCGGACTCGGAGCGATGCGCGAGCTATTTTAGCTGGCAGTTCATACTGCATCTTCCGGTGGACAAAGCCAAAGGTCGAGTGACCAGAAGGCTGCACAAACTGTCAAAACCAAGTGCGCCTCTTATTTTCAGCAGCGGTGAGGTAAGGGTAGCCATCGGGAAGGTGAAAGCCTCCAAAGCCATTGGACCCGATGGAATTTGTATGTTGCTCAAAAATTTGGGTCCTGCGGGAGTGGAAAATTTAACCAAGGTCCTCAACCTGTCTATGGCCACTCTCATCATTCCAGACATCCGAAAAATAGGGAGAGTGGTCCCACCACTGCTTAAACCGGGGAAACCATTCAACAAAGCAGAGTCTTATCGCCCGATAACTCTCTTTTCCTCAGTAACGTAGACACTAGAGGCCTTTCTACTCCCGCACTACACAAACCGCTTGACCCCAGCGAAGTATCAGCGTAGGTTCCGTAAAGTGCACAGCATAACAACGGCACTTAATGCCATAAACACCCAGATAACTCGTGGCCTTAAGCGAAGCCGCTCCTATGAGAGAACTATTCTAGTAGCGTTGGACCTGTTAAAGGCGTTCGACACCGTCATCCACTCAACGCTACTAAAAGACATAGCGGCGTCCTCTCCCCCAGGGACTCAAACGGTGGTCGGCGAATTATCTGAGTGATCGTCAGTAATCTTTAGAGACAAAACAAGCAAACAGAGAAAAATTAAACAGAGGGTACCACAGGGTGCGGTCCTATCCTCACTATTGTTTAATTATCATATTTCAAAGCTCCCTCAACCACCAGAGGGAGTCACTATTGTCTCTTATGCCGACGATTGCTCGATTATGACATCTGGGAATGGAATTGATGATTTGTGCTCAAGAATAAACGAGGTCAGACTGCAACTGGGTATTTACGTCAATGAATAACCAATTCCGACGGTGAATAACCCGAAGATCCTCGGAGTAATCATCGACAGTCTGCTCTCCTTCTCTGCTCACGCAACCGCTATTGTCAACAAAGTACAAAGCCGCAACAAGGTCCTCAAGTCGCTAGCCGGCAGCACCTGGGGCAAAGATAAAGAAACGTTGTTGGCAACGTACAAGGCAATTGGCCGGCCGGTTCTAAACTATGCAGCGTCTGTGTGGTCGCTGGGGACTAGTAGGATGCAGTGGATGAAGCTGCAGACCTGCCAAAATTCGGTACTTAGGACACCGACAGGATGCCTTCTGATATCATCGCAACATCACCTGCACGACGAGCCCCACAAGCTCACGATTAAGGAGCATAACACAATGTTCTGCAAGCAATTTCTAGTAGAGTGTCACCGTCGGGGGCACCCGAACAGACATTTGCTTGCGCAAAACCCCTCGCTACGGCACGTCAGAAGGTATCTCCATTACTCGCAACATGTCTTCGCGAGCCCACCGAACCCCACCCTGCTAACGCCTCTGTCGTTATGGATAGACCCCGTCGAGGCTGCACGCTTCCTGGGGCTACCGCTAGTAGATCTTGATGACAACGATTGAGGGACTAACCGATCTGGGTGGAGTTGTTGTAGCCGTTACAACAACAACAAAAAATGCCCGTTCAGCACATTTTTAATGAATTTTCGTTGAGATAGGGTATTTTGGAACCGAATTCTGAGTTAGGGCGTTTCTCAACCAAATTCTGAGATAGGGTGTTTTTGAATAAAATTCTGAAATAGGGCATTCTTTCAAAGTTTTTTGAGGCAGGGCGTTTTCGAACTGGCTGTCGTGATAGGTTGATCTTCCACTCAGCCATCGATATGTATGTACATCTGAAATTTTCATTTCGTGGTGGCAGTAGGCATGACAACCACAATGAGCGTGCAACCCTGTGCCAAACTCGACATAACCACCTCCGAGAAAAGTAAGCAGTCGCCAATTAATTTGCCAAACAAAAATTTGCATAACATCGACCTTATAATGGGCTGTTTTTGCTTACGCGTTAAAGCACATTTAGCGCATTTAGCTCTAAATGCTACTCTTAATGTACATTTATCCATACAAAATTCGTCACCTAAATGAAACTCCATTTTTGCATTAAGGGCCTGTGCCAATCGGTAACTTTTTTCTCCGTGGTGAGACGGGGTGGAAAAATTTGCTATGGTGCACAAATAAATTGAATTTTGCTGTGCCAAATGCAGAGTAAAATTTTGACAGTTGAAGAACCAAACAAACGCTCGTGCGAAAGCTTTATTTTTGTGTGTTGCTGAAATTCTTAAAATTTATATTTATTTTATAATTTGCAAGTAACGTACGCTTTTTTATGCTGTTTCAGCTTTCATTTTCATGTTCACTCCTTATTACCGCCAAGCAATATTATGTGTATACATGGTAATAAGCTGTCAAAATTTACTATTGAATAAGGTTTTTGTTGAAAACTAAGTAGTTTATATTTAGCTAAAATCTATTATAGCACTAAAAATTGTAGATGAAAGGGTAAGTTTATGAAAAGGCATTGATGAGTGGCAACAGTGTAGTAAGCAACACTGAGGGCTCCAGTAATCGACAAAATTCTGCGTATACAGACTGCGTTTAAGTATACGTTCTGCGTTCTCGACTAATTTCAGCTTTAATGAGAAATAGTGGCAACATTGCTTTCTTGCGTATACAGTGGCTAGCTGCGTTTCAGTGATCGCCGATCGAGATTTCATTTATTATATTATATTAATTGGATAAAGAAAAGGTACGCAAAATTCAACATCGATGTGATGCTGATAGAAATCTGGATCAATTTGTGATCAACTCTGTTTGTTTTGTTTCCTAATTGAGTGAGGAAATTTTAATTGACAGCACCGACAAATGAATATATACAAATACAAATGTTCGGATTTTTAATTAAATTAAAAGTTATTCGCACTTTTCGTCCCATGTTTTGATGAATTTGATCCAAATAAATGGAATAAATGAAAGTTGTTCTCTGCAAAAGGTGTCCAGCCCCACTTCTTTGGCAACACAGCGAGGAGAATTCTACTGCCTGAACGTTATAATCCCTAAGTGCGGCCGAAGGCCGCCTACGCAGAAAGGAGTTGGTTCCACTAAAGTGCACTTTTATCCAATTCAAGTTTTTGTATTGAATTTTTGGTTTAAAAATGTTTTTTTTCCTTTTCAGTAGGGTTTTTTGCGATACGGATCTGAATAAGCGACTGGAACACCGCTATTTGTCAAAAGCATACGATTTCGAACTCGCGTAAATGTACATTTGCTAAATGCGATAGCATGAACGCTCTTCGAAAAAATATGTTGGAAAGTGCTTAATGTTGCATTTTAAATACAGCAATAACGTCGCATAAAGTTGCATTTGGCATGGCCTTTACAGAGTACCAAGCTGGGTGTGACGGCCCCTAGTGTCTTTTGGCTGTTTGAAGGAGTTGCCAGGTCTGGTAGAGAAGGCGAAAACAAAAAGGAATGTCAAATTGGGCTTTTATTTAGAATTGGCGAAATAATAGTTTAACGCAAAAAGAGAAATCGTATTCAACTTTTTCTTTGTCATTGGTATATGGCTGTAACAGGAACTTTGTCATATGAAACGTTTTAAATATTCCTAGAAATAATGATTACTTTTACTTTATCGTGATAAAGATAGGCGCTTTTCGTATACATATGAATACCACTCGGGAAGTTTGACCGTCATGCCGTGCACCTGACTCATAACAAATAAGAACTGCCAAAGATACTAACTAGCGATGGAGGTCACTTGTGACCGTGTAACCAATGATTGCAAATCAGATATGGAGCTTGGCGATCCTCCCATACAATGTTGCGGGTGGCAGGTGATTTTAAATACCCAACTTTTATTTTAAAATTTATTTACATATGTTTTCTGCATCAGGTGGAGGATGTAATAAAATGGGCCAAAGATTATGATATGCAACCCGCAGTTATAAACTGCTTGACCCTTGAACGCATTGATGGCAGTGATCTTTTAGAATTAAATGAAAACGATATTCGAGATTTTCGTTATCGGCTTCAATACAACCTTAGGATGAGTGATATGAAAAAACTGTGGGTAGCTGTACGGACTCTACAACAGAGTCAGTTGCATTCACCCCTCCAGCACGCTTGTACATGTACGCATATGAGCACATCCATATCAGCGGATGGATCGCCCATAAATCCTCACAAAGTTCGTGTAGCTTCTGGTTGCTACAACGTAGGCGCATGTAGTTGTTCACTCGCTCAAACTGGTGGTAGTGGTGGGAATTGTTATTATTCAGATGTTTGTGCACCACCGCCAACTTTAAGTGGTAGTGCGGAAGGTGATAACTTATCTCCACCGATGTCAGTTGATGGGCGCGCTACCAACATACCACCAGAGCTATTTAAAACCGCTATTAGCCTAGGTAAGTCACAACTCAATGCACATTTCAATATCCTATAACTGATTGTGGGTACAGCAAGGGGTTTCCAGCTCAAAATCTAGTCACTTTTACAGGTCTATTTGTTACCGATAATTTTGTAACCGGAAAATTTTAGTACCATAAAATGTTACCAGTTCCTGTCACCGCAATGAGGTAGAAGTTACGGTTAAACACAATGACTGGTTTATCGATCACATGTTATATGCATGATGTCGAAATAGTCGATAATGATGTTTAACTGGGAGGTAGTTATAAACGTTACGTAGAATTTTCTCTGGGGTTTCCTCCACCATCCCACAAAATACTCTGGACCATTAAAGCGCATTTAGGTTCTATGCTTAGCGTGAAACTCAGCCCTTTCGTTGCCTTCAAACCGCGTTACGCTATTGTGGGCTACCAGGTGGTTTAAAATAGGTCTAAAGCTGTCCACAAACCATTGATTGAGTGTACGGCCTTTAACGCTACCTGACTATATGACATAATATTTATCCTGGCCACATTTGCTGTTCCACGAAGACATTCACGAACACATATTATGATTGCGAACACTTCCACCTGAAATAACGTTGGGTAAGTGCCCATTGGCAGACTTTCCGGGAATCTTGGGCCAAGTACGCCTGCCACAGTATTCCCGTCGTCCAACTTGATCCGTCGGAATACCATCGTCAATCATAGTTATTGTCGCTTCACCTCAGTCCCTTTCAGGAACTCTGACCTTGTAGGGTAGAAAGATAACTAGGGATCATCCAGAAATGACTTGAGGAGAATCTCCAATGACTCAGAAGATCTCCACAGGCCAGGGTGATCGATTTAAAGCGTTTCTCCTCACTGTTGTTATCGACTTTCAGAGCTTCGGCTTATATACAGACCAAATTAAGTAATATCTCCAAACAAAACAAAAAGGCAAAAGAGATGCCTACTTCCAAACGTGCAATGAGCACAAAACAAATGAAAAACACACCCGCGTTTACTTGCTTACCTTTTGGCCACAATGCCAGTGCCGCTTTTTTAACAACGGGGTTAACTACCGTATTGAACATTCCCACGACAGCCGGTTCTACGTACCGGAATGACTCGGGTTTTACCCGACCAAGGGCTGTTGTTTCGGCGATCTAACTCCGTTTAGGTCGGCGAAGTATCTCAGAAGTTGTTCGTCCATAGGGCTACATTCACTACGAATTCTTCTACTCAGGGCTGGCATCGAGTCAAACCCAGGGCCAGAAATGTACACCTGCTGTGTATGCCGGAGACGACTACACCACAACTCCACCTCAGTCAAGTGTAATGCCTGCGAGGGGTGGAGTCACCTTAGAGTCTGCTCAGGACTACGGACACATCGACAGTGGACCCCGTCGTACGTGGCCCCCTGTTGCTCAAACAGAGCAGCCTCTACGGCTAACCTCAGTCCACCCGAGCAGCCTCACACAGTCACCACAACACAACAACATAATAACACCACAGGCCATACCACAGCCACGACAGACCACATAACACACACAACCGCACCACCACCCATACGCCGCCGCCAACAACTCGTGGTTCCTCCTACAATCTGCACGGTATGTCAGACCAGGATATTCCGTAATGTGACATCAGTCAAGTGCAACACCTGCCTTGGCTGGTGCCACTTTAGGGCATGCTCAGGTCTGCGTACCACGCGAGATTGGACTGGGAACTTCAAGGGCCCGTGTTGCGCTGCTCGGTCGCCGACCTCAACTGTGAGGCCTCCCGCCACGACCACAGGGCGGCAACCATCACAGCAGCGCACACAGCCAACGGCGGTAAGAACACACACATAACTTACACCCCACATCACGACACGTCTCCCGAACCACATGAAGCTCCTTCAATTTAACTGCAACGGGCTACAGAGCAAGATTGAGGAGATAACCGGCTTCATGTGTCGGCATGGTATATTGATAGCTGCGGTCCAAGAGACGAAGTTGCACAGCAATTCAACTTTGTTGAATTGCGCCGGGTACAACGTGCACCGTCGAGATCGCGAGCGAGATAATGGTGGTGGCTTAGCGTTCATCACGCACCACACCGTGCAGTATCGTCTTATCGAAGCAGACATCGACCGCAGGGATACCACCCTAGAATGTCAGGGCATCGCTATCCGGTCAGGCGATGTTGAGCTCGAAATATTTAACATATACATACCCCCTGTCACCTGCTGCCCGGCAGGATATCACCCTGATATAGGTGCGCTCCTCAGAGGTGAAAACCGTATGGTAGTAGGTGACTCTAATGCGCACCACGATCTTTGGCACTCAAGCCTGTCAAACGACCGTAGGGGAACCGACTTGGCTGAGCAGATAGACGATTCGACATTCTGCACAATGAACGACGACGCACCCACCAGGATTATGGGTAACTGCAGTAGCTCGCCAGACATCACCATAGTCAGCGCTGGTCTGATAAACAGCATAACATGGCGACCTATGCTGACTTTAGCATCAGACCACCTACCCATAATCATCTCGATAGATAAACCAACGGACTTTGCCTCCGCCAAACACCGGACCTATATCAACTTTTCTAAAGCTGATTGGAAAGGTTACGCGGAGTTTACCGAAAACATCTTCACAGCGCTCCCCACACCAACCGACGTCCATCTCGGTGAACGTAAGTTCCGCAGGGCTGTCACTGCTGCTGCAGCTAGCTTCATACCGGCAGGATGTATAACGGACCCACGTCCAAACTTCCCTGCCGAAGCGGCTGTTCTAGCCGATGAGCGTGATAGCCTTCGTCAGGCTGATCCCGGAGATCCCCGTATCAGGGATCTCAACGCGGAGATTCGGCAACTAGTAAACGTACATAGGCGGAAGAAGTGGGAGGAGCATCTGAAAACCTGTAACTTCACCTCTGGTGTGAGCAAGCTTTGGTCAACCGTGAGGTCGCTGTCCAATCCGACGAAGCACGACGACAGAGTCGAAATTTCCTTCGGCGACCATGCTTCGTCGGACCCGGAGCGATGCGCGAGCTATTTTAGCCGGCAGTTCATACTGCATCCTCCGGTGGACAAAGCCAAGCGTCGAGTGACCAGAAGGCTGCACAAACTGCCAACAACCTGTGCCCCCCTTGCTTTCACTTGCGGTGAAGTTCAGGTGGCCATCGGGAAGGCGAAAGCCTCCAAAGCCATGCATGCTGATGCTGAAAAATTTGGGTCCTGCGGGGGTAGCGTACCTAACGGAGGTCCTCAATTTGTCTATGGCCACTCTCATCATCCCAGACATCTGGAAGGAGGGGAGAGTGGTCCCACTGCTCAAACCGGGGAAACCTGCCAACAAAGGAGATTCTTATCGTCCGATAACACTCCTTTCCCCGGTAGCGAAGACAATCGAGGCCTTGCTACTCCCGTACTTCACAAACCACTTGACCTCAGCGAAGCATCGGCATGGTTTCCGTAAAGTGCCCAGTACAACAACAGCACTTAACGCCATAAACACTCAGATAACTCGTGGCCTTAACCGAAACCGTCCCTATGAGAGAACGATTCTAGTAGCGTTGGACTTGTCAAAGGCGTTTGACACCGTCTGCCATTCCACGCTACTAGAAGATATAGAGGCCTCCTCTCTCCCACAGAGGCTCAAACGGTGGTCGGAAAATTATCTGAGTGGTCGACATTCGTCGGTAATGTTTAGACACAAAACGAGTAAACTGAGGAAAATAAAACAGGGGGTTCCACAGGGTGGTGTCCTTTCCCCGCTACTGTTTAACTTTTACATTTCAAAGCTCCCTCAACCACCAGAGGGAGTCTCGATTGTCTCTTATGCCGACGATTGCTCGATCATGGCGACTGGGAATGGAATTGATGACCTGTGTTCGAAAGTAAACGGGTATCTCTCCGAACTTTCTCGCTTCTTCACTGCAAAGTGTCTAGCCCTCTCCCCTACGAAATCCTCAGCGACCCTGTTCACAACCTGGACGAAGGAGGTCAGGCTACCGCTGGGAATTCACGGCGATGACACACCAATTCCGACGGTGAATAACCCCAAAATACTCGGAGTAACATTCGACAGCCTGCTCTCCTTCTCTGCGCACGCAACCGCTATTGTCAATAAAGTACAGAGCCGCAACAAGGTCCTCAAGTCGCTAGCCGGCTGTACTTGGGGCAAAGACAAAGAAACGTTGCTGGCAACATACAAGGCAATTGGCCGGCCGGTTTTGAACTACGCAGCGCCAGTGTGGTCGCCGGGGACTAGTAGGACGCAGTGGACGAAGCTACAGACTGCACAGAACACCGCACTCAGGACAGCGACAGGATGCCTCCTGATGTCGCCCGAACACCATCTTCACGGCGAGGCGCAAATGCTCCCCGTAAAGGAGCACAACATAATGCTCTGCAAGCAGTTCCTGATCGGGAGCCACAGAAGTGGCCACCCAAACAGACAGCTGTTTGCAGAGGAGCCCTCGCCTAGGCACGTCAGGAGGCATCTATATGAACTGACGGACGAAGTCCAGAGGTTCATTAAGCAACCTCTGGACCCGACAGCTTACCGACTGGCCCTGAACGGCATTCACAGGTAGTCAGTCTCGAGTTATGTAGACTCTAGACCTGTGAATGCCGTTCTAGGCATACCGCCCCCGGACACTGACGAGACGGAGCTTCATCTGCCTCGGGAGACTCGAACGAGACTAGCACAACTTCGCTCCGGCTACTGCAGCAGGTTAAACTCCTACCTGAGTAGATTGAATGAGGATGTGCCAAATGAGTGTCCGGCATGCGGAGAGACCCCACATGACTCGAAACATCTCTTCGCTTGCCCGGAAAACCCGACAACCCTAACGGCCTTGTCCCTGTGGACCAACCCCACAGAAGCTGCACGCTTCCTAGGGCTGCCGTTAGTGGAACTTGACGACAACGACTGAGATACCAACCGTCCTGGGCGGGGTTGTTGTAGCCGCTAAAACAACAACAACAACCGTATTGAAAGACCAATACCTTAGTTTGGGCGATATTCCCCAAGTCTTACCATGAAGTCTCTGACAGGCATAAAACGCATTTGTAGCCTTGTTGACAACATTCCAGATATATGAGTTCCAACTAAGGCTTTTGTCCTGAGTTATCCCTAGATACTTCGCCTCTTCTGAGAACTCAATTTCTGTCCCTGCCGAGGTGGGTCTAGCCAAGTTGGCTTTACTTCTTTTGGTAAATGAGATAATAGTGGACTTCAGTGGGTTTATTGACAAACCTTTTTCAGCGCACCAATCTTCAGTGTATAAATACAAAGATATATATGTATTTACATAGTTTATCACAACTTTGTAGCTCAGTTTAATTTAAATTTACTTGTAGCCACATCAAGCACAATAAGGAACAAGGTTGCTAAAATTTTTGGAGATACATATTTTCTATTTTTCAACATAACTATTTTGGTCGCGGAACCTACCAAAATCCAATCCATCTTACCAGCCTACCAAATGGAAATAAACCTACCAGATTTGGTAGGAAAAGCCAAGGTGTGGCAACACTGGTGCATTTGCGCCAGAGAAATGCCAAAACGCGAGCAAGAATAGAAAATAATGTAATAAACAAAGTGAAATCAATATTTGAAAATTTAAATGTAAACAATTCGTATATTTGTTTACATTAACCCTCTTTCGGCTTTGGTTCACGTATGGTACGATGAAGCATATAACAAAAGCTACATACATACATATGTATGCGTTATGGCTTTGCGAATTCAAACACAACTTCTTTTATTGCAAGTTGTCATGTTGGTATAGAAAACATTCCCATACCCCTGAAAAGGGTCGTAGTTGCGTTGGCAAGAGAAGAGGAATAACTTATCAGCGTTGGGAACACCAAATGGAACTTACTTATAGTGATTTCGTTTCTTCCAAAAAATGCTGCCCTTCCACGGCGCAAAATGTATTTGGTGTTACACTCAACCCTGTTATAGGGTATCACTGCAAATTTAGTCTTTATTCACACACGAAAAGAGGAAGGGGCAATCAAAAGATGACATTTTTTGGTAGAAACGAAAACACCATTAGTGTCACTGCTCAGCGGAAGATCGACTTATCTCGGCAGCCAGTTCGAAAATGCCCTATCTCAAAAAACTTTTCAACAACCCTCTATTTCAAAATTTATTTCCTATTGCAGAATTTGATTGAGATAGATTTTCAAAGTTGCAATATTTTTTTTAGAATTTATGCGCGTTGCACTAGAAATTCCCTGAATTTCCCGATTTTAGCAAAACCCTCAACAACCCTCTATTTCAAAATTTAGTTGAAGAACGCCCTATTGCAGAATTTGATTAAGTTAGATTTTAAAAGTTGCAATATTTTTTTGTCAGAATTTATGCGAGTTGCAGTAGAAATTTCCTGATTTTCTCGATTTTACCAAATAAATTAGTCGTTTAAACCGTATTTTTTTCGTGAATAACTATTTACAGATATTTACACATATAAATAGTATTGACCAAGGTACAGAAACCGCACTTAACAGTGCAGTTGCTTTGTCTCGGAAACAATATGCCAGTACGCAGAATGTCCCCATCTCAAAAGATTTCCCCATATATGTATATTAGACTGCATCATTCCCCATACAAAAAAAAATCGGTACTATTTTACCATTGGAATTATAAAATCTATTATATTTTAAGACGTCCACCAAAATATTTAGGAGAGACTCAAATGCTTTCGTCGGAGCTGAGTACCGAGATTTACTGAATTATATGTCCTCAAATTTCAGTGCCATCGGAAGATCTTTAGAAGGGCTATGAAACTGGAGGTCTATCGCCCATCTTTTGGCCATCTCTTCGTTTCGCGCTGCAGCTAAAACAATCTATGCGGCATGCTTCGTGCATTTTCATACATTTCGTCTTATCTGTCAAAGCGAATCTGTCACGCAAAGCGAAGCAAGCGTTTTATCTGACATCAGCTTTATTTTCTGCGTCAGCCGAAATTGGCCTGTGTGCGTTTGCATTTGATTTCACACAGTGATGCCAGAAGTAGGGAAAATTCCCTACATGCGGGGATTTTCGGTTTAAAATTTTATTATATTAAGCCAAATGTAGGGAATTTTTGACAAAAAGTATATCAAATTAAAAACCTCTTTGAGGTAAAATTTTCGAGTGACGAAAGCTGAACTAGAAACACAAAATTTATGATATTAATTTCGTGACGAATGCCGCGGTTTGGCCTTTTTTTTATTTTGTGAGTAGACTAGCGTTTTTTTTAACTAAGCACATGTATGAATATTAGACTGCGCCTTATTTTGCAACTTTGTCCTACAAAGCAAGACTCCCCCCAGAAAGGTTGACTTGGTCATAAAAACGTGACCTGCGAAAAATTTTTTAAAGACGTGCCTCAAAGGCCCGATGTCTAAAATGGCTACAATATCTTAAAACTTTTAAAGTTATTGAGGTTTTTGCCGCGTCAAATTGAAATTTTCTAGGTTTTGAGAAGTTAATTTTTAGCGCAGTAAACTTAGGTAAAATTGGCACGAAGAAAAAAATGTAGTAAGGAAATTTTTATGTAGTGTACTTTTTTTTACATGTAGACCATAGATCTACAGTCCTGCCCCTAAATTTCATATGGAAACATTCCGCCATCTCGGATTTTAGGTCCACAAATCGGAGGA